CAATGGGGTTAAGGTCACAGTGATAAGGTGGCAACCGCAACACTTTAATGCCATGTTATTCTGCTGTTTCATCTACGCTATATTTCTTAAATTTTAGTGAATATTGTTTACATAACTGCAATATTTTTTTTTTTGAGTAATCCGTCTTCTGGCACTATTGGATATTAGCCAATCGGACAGTTCTTGCTTTTCCATTTAGTGTAAGGTAACGGTTTTTTATTCTTAAATGGTAACTGGCATTGTACATAACTATTACAGAATTGGTTGGTAATAAATCTATCATTTGACTAAAGTATTCCTCAGAAACATCAGCAGTAGTCTTTCATAGAATTTAAAACAAATCTTAACAAGCATCTATTAACAAATCCTTTATCTCCCCCAATATGAGCGTTAATTAAAAGACGACCTTTATCATTTTGAAATTTTAAGCTAGTAGACAAATCTTCTATAAATGTTTATCGAGCATTTGTAACCTGTTTATCTTGCCAAACTTCTTTTACAAAATACCCTTCATTTATCCATGTTTCATCCAAATAAAAAATATTTTTGTCTTCGCTTCTTAATTTTCTAATTGTTCTTAAGTATTGCCTCCTCCAGCAAATACTTTAATTTTTCCCTATGAGCGCAAATTTTCTATTATAAATGAACGTGGTTTTCAGAAAAATGTATATTTTAATTGAATCTTTTAAACAAAATAGTAGGTATTGAAATTTACAGCTGGCGTACCGCTTAAATATATATCTATTAGGACTGGTTTAATGTATACAAATAAATAATAATTTTTCAGGAGCTCTGAGGGTAAAGATGTCCTACAAGGTTTAATCCTAGAAGGGTTTTTAGTTAGTGTTATTTTAATAAGTTGAAATAGTTTTAACTGGGAGTTGAATAAATACAAACGTGTGCCAGGGCTTGATTCGACGTCTTATTCCGAGGGTGGTTGTGTCCTATCAGCCTATTGGCCTCAAATGGTAGGCCTAGGTCCTAATGACTTCCGTTGTATAATTTAAGTTATATTTCAGATAACTGCGGTTAATGAGGTTACCTCCAGGGATGTAAATGGTAACTGGGTATCTAGTAGTAGTATTCAACAGTTGACTCCACAAATAAAACTAACTTCAGTCTCAAAATAATGTCGAGATACACGAATAAGTTCCAAAATACGAAGTAGTAAACAAAAGGGAAATTAGGAAAGAAAAGAAAAAAGGTCTGAAATATACAAAATAGGTACTAGTTTAGATATAATATCGAATGATAGGGAATGCAAATAGGTGATGGTTTAAGATTTTACGTTATACCTAAAGATGAAATGTGGCCTTATTTGATGTAAGTTCCTTGTTTAATGAAAACTTAATACTATTTCGAGGGTACTTAACTTACCAACTAATGGTGTAAGTATTATTATTTTCAATTGATCTCTTTTCTAGCACATGCATCCTCATAAAAAGTTCCTCAAAAGCACATGCTACTTGAAGGTGTACCAGCAATGTAATGATAGCAGAATATGCATAAAAGAAGTTAAAATGACCTCCACAGGAAATGATATAAAATTATATCAGCTAACTTAAAAATATATACAGCAAATTTCTCACAAACACCTAATTCCAAGAATTTCCAGATTATCTGGGGGTTTAATTATTAAATTTTTCAAAATATAAATTAACTGTCTAAAGTGAATGATATAATGTTAGAATAAATGTAAATAAACAAAAGAAAATAAACCTGAAACCATTCATATATTTCTAATCGTTTCTATTTTCTTTTAGACTTCTAGAACCTAACCTTCTGTAAACCTCTTCTAGAGCTTTTCTTCGAAAAATGAGTTCCTCTCTTCTATCAAAGTCGATTACGTCATTTAGTGGAGTACCATCGTTCCTACTAATTGATAGTTCGCGTCCAAATATATTAAAATTGGGGGTTAAATTCGTTACTTCATGACGTGCAGATCGTATTGCCCAACCTATCTCTGAGAGGTTGTCATCCCATGTCCGGTAATTTCCACCTATGTAGCAACGGACATGGCTTTTACCACACGATTCACTCTCTCCACAGGATTGCTTTGAGGGTGGTAATTGGCCGTAAATACTTGTTTTATTTAATATTCCTCCATGAGAGAACGAAAAGCGTTCGACTTAAATTGTACACCGTTATCGGTGATTACTCGATTTGGAGCACCAAATACTAAAATTGCCTTTTCTTCTAGAAGCTTGATAATAGGAGGAGTGGTAGCTGATCTCATTGGAAATAAGAGACAAAATTTGCAATCACATATGGCTAAAATATAACAATTTCCTGAAGATGATCTCGGCAAGGGACCCATAATGTCGATACTAAGGAGTTTAAAGGGGCGCGTGACAGAGATGGTTTTTGTCAACATTTGTCCTGCTGTTTTTCGTTGCTCAGGTTTATTCTGTATATAAACTGTGCAGCGATTAACATAGCGAGCTACATCGTGTTTCATCTTGGGCCAGTAAAAAGATGAGAATATTCGACTCAAGGTTTTAAAAATATCCATGTGGCCACTTAAGGGTAGAACATGATTTTTTTATCACCTCCTTGCGTTGTCCTTTGGGTACCACCTTTAACCACTCTTGGTGATTTTGGGAATCTCAAATTTGCCCTCTTGAAAAGATCTGTACCCGCAACTCTCCATAAAGGGAATTTGTCAGGATCTTGTTGCACTCTTGTCAACATGATCTGTAGCCACTTATCCGGCAGATCATTTGGATCGGGAAGAGAAATACAATTTATGGGAAATACGGCACGTGAAAGGGCATCTGGGACTACATATTCCTTCCCTTTGCGATGGACGACTTCAAAGTCGTACTGTTGTAAACGAAGTGCCCATCTGGCGATACGACCCACAGGGTCCTTGATGTTATATAACCATTTTAAGGTATAATGGTCCGTTACAACCGTAAACTTGGAACCCTAGATCCACGGACGACATCGTTCTATTGCGAAGAGGACGGCTAAACACTCTTTCTGCGTGGTCGTATATTTCCTCTCTGCCTTGGTCAAAGATCTTGACAGGTAATAAATTACTTTCTCTCCATCCTCATGCTGCTGAGAGAGCACAGCGCCTAAGCCATAGTCGCCATCATCTGTTTAAAGAGAGAATTACACTTCGAACTTGGGACATGATAGAACTGGAGCAGAGATTAAATGAGTCTTGATATTCTTAAAAGACATTTATCATCTCACTTAAACGTGACATTATTCTTTAGAAGTGCTATTAGTGGAGCAGTCAAGGTGAAGAAGTTGGGGACAAACCGTCTGTACCAAGGAGCCAAGCCCACAACTCTACGATCTTCAGTTATATTTCGTGATGGAGACAGGTTCACAATGGTCTCAACCTTATCCGCGTCTACCATCAATCCAGCAGGGTTCACTACATAACCAAGATATTTCAACTCTGACTTACAGAAGAAGCATTTATTTTGGTTTACTGTCAAGCCCGCAGTGACTAGTCTATGTAATACCTTCTGTAGAATATCCATATGTTGTTAAAATGTGGGAGTACAGATGACAACATCATCTAAATACACGAAACAAAATTCTTCTAAATCCACTTCCATAACTTGATTAATAAATCTCTGCCAGGTAACAGGGGCATTATGTAGTCCAAAGGGCATTCTACGGAATTGTAGGAACCACAATCGTGGTTAGGGGTTTAAATTCATCTGCCATGGGAATCTGCCAATAGGCTGACTTAATGTCGAGTGTCGTTAGGTACCGTGCATCTTTTAGCTTATCAAGAATCGAGCTAACAAAAGAAAGAGGGTAAGCATCCGGCAGGCTAACTTCGTTAAGTCGCTTATAATTAACAAAAAGCCTATATGTGTTGTCTGGCTTCTTCACATATTTCTTTTGAATTTTGAACCGAAACATATTATTACAGTACTAACAATTCTGAAGTTACAATCATAGAACTATACAAACAGAAATCTAAACCTTAACTAAAATAGTTTAAAATTTACATTACACTTTCTGCCCATTAGAAATTTTAATCCTTTCTAAAAAAGTTGAGGGCTACTTAAATTGATTTTGAATTGTTAACATTTTCTACCTGTAGATATAACATACTTACCTTATTTTTGTTGATTCAAATGACTAAAAAATTTAAGACAACAATTGAAATAAAATGGTGTTTTTTAAAATTTTATAAAGAAACCAAAGCTTTTATTTTGGATCAAATAATGCTCAAAATTTTATTTTAGACATACTCCGCACTGATTTATGATGTTATATTGGGGTTTATCTCCTGGGTCATACAAATTTTGCTATCATTAATTTTCAAATAAACTATAGCAATGATTTCGAAATCGTTTTAAATACAGACTTACAAGATATCAAGCTAACAAATAGTAGTGATGGAATGTTTTGAAACATGTCTTAGATATGGCTAATTTTAGGTGAAAGCTACTGAATTTTTCCAAACGCAATACCCTGTATATTATTTTGGTATAAAATTCATTCTAAATTTACTATCCAACGATACCAATATAACATACAGCCTATTATACATATACAGGGTGTCCTATCAGTGCGTAATTGATCGATAGCCGTTTTATTATTGGAGATATGAAGAATTTTTTTATACAAAACTTCTATGACCTTATTTTATAATTACTTTTAAATATACAGGGTAGTCCATAAATGAGGGGTGAACCAAACATGTATTAATAATTACTTACAACCTATATGAATGGTGCCAGATGAATCTGTAAAATGAGAAAATATCAAATCACACGTTATATATCCTAAAACAATAAAAGACTTTATGTAAACTAATTTATTTTTTAAATATCGCAATATGTTTAAACGCTTAAAATATTTTCTTATTCTTCGTGGTTAACGTGCTAAAAATCCAAAGTTTCAAAGCGTTCATAGGTTATCAATTAATTTAATGATTCATATTCCTCTTATGTTAAAAAATATTCGTAACTCTGAGAATTCCTTAATGAGTAAAATACACTTCAATAAGGATTGGCCTTTGATAACCCGAAGAAAAAAAAATATATGTATGTATATATCATGTGAAATTTTTTGAGAAAAAGTAAGTAACCTAATTTATTTTGGTGAGACAAAATGAACATAAACATATTAGTGAGTATCTACTTATATAGTACACCAAATAATCAATATTTAATAAATGCATTGGGTTCAATTAAGTTTAACATTTAGTTATTTTTGGTATATACAAATACTATTGCTAGAATTTCTTATTTGTAGTATTTTAACTGAATTTATCATATTTTTTAAATTTTTTACTAATTTTTTTAATGGGCTTGCTCAATTAGTTTCTGCAACTAGCTTTTTTTATACTGTGTCACTATTACAGATATCGGTAAAATTTGCAATCTTTTTATTTTAGAACAAATTCACTGTGATTTTTCGTTAGCTAATTTTATATAGGAAATTTTCGATTTTTTCGTGTAAATTCTTTGCTATGTATTTTTAATTTTTTTCTGTCTTCCATAATTATTTTTACAATATCTTATTTTCCATGCAATTGTTTTCCTTTTTTAATTGCTTTATCTAATATTTTTTGGCTTTATAATTTTTTTTTTTTTTTCATTATATTTTTTATAGTTTTAGGATTTTACTGACGTATTTTTTACTTTCCTTTAATTATTAATTTTTAAATAAATTTTCAGTTGTCTTCGACATTCTGCCTATTAGAATAAAAACTAATTTTAAATTTTTATTTAATTGCTAATAAAATATGTTTCATCTTTCTTGCTACAGATAGTTTTATTACTTAAGTAACTGACCCTTACCTGGATGTGTTAGGGCAAGATTATTTTTTTTTGTAGGTAATAAAGATTTTGAGTTTTTCTTTATTATCATTTTTTTATTTTTTATTTTAAATTAAACATTTAATTATTGCAGTTAAACTGACATTGTCAATTTATCTGTGTAGGTGTGCTTGTAGTATTCTAAAACTAAAAAATCTGTCTCATTAAAAATCACACTGTGAGGCGTTCTTCCCATACCTGTCTATTAAAAAAATACCTTCTTTTTAATTGACTACATCCTTAACGACATTAATTCAAAGAAAAAAAACGAACGAAGGTATTTTCAGGGGTGTAAATTTATTAATATTCGTTAAGCGCTTTCGGCTAATAAGCCATCATCGAGATACTATAAAAGTAAAAAGAGAACAAATGATCCTGCACTTTTTATACTGATTTTGGGTACTGTAAGATTTTTTAAAAATTATGTATATTATTTCTCGGGTCATTAGAGGCACCTTTCTTATGGAACCCAAGTCAAATTTAAGGAGTGCAGAATTAATATTTTCATATAAATATCCTCTACACAATTTATATTTTTTCCATGAAACATGTCATGTGTTATACTCATATATAGGAAGTTTAGGCTATGTTGCACTTCACAAAATAAATCATACAGGGTATTCAAAAATTAGGAATATCACTTACTGAAATAATAATTACTAAATAATGTTTTATTAGTAATATAGCCTGTGATAGAAATATATAAATATTATTTAATATAAAAACAATTTCTTTACATAAATTAATTTTTTTTACTAAATTAAAAATCAATATAAAAGAAACAGAATTTTTAAAAATTATTTTATTACATACAATAACTGTTTATAAACAATCTTTGATAAAAATTAATCTGAACGAGCTGCTGGTAACAAACAAAACACCGAACCATTTTTCTAATTATTTAAATCAACTCTAACTAACTACATACTATAACGCAGGTTTTTGGTAACTTTATTTAATTCAACTCAACTTTCACAATTTAACTATATAGTTGATAACATAAACTTATAACGTCTATCATAAAACTGAAACTCTGACGTCAGGAACATCGACTTATATACCTTCTTGAACCTTCTCGAAACGTCTAGATGTTTCTTGATAGTAGATGACATTTATGGACATTTCTAGACTTTTCTGTCCTATTCTTTTACTCGTACTTTTACTTACGACGACCGCAGTTCACTATAGGGTGCAGGCTAAAATTGCTTTTTCTTCTCTAATTATTCGTCCCAAATAAATTGATAACTGAGACCTGGTTGGAGCCAACAGGGAGGATTTGAACTACGGTAAGGTGCTAAGTTTTTAATTTAAACTATCTTGGGTTTACTTTCTGCTGTCAACTAAATGCGGTAGATCATCATTGTTGATTTCTTGAAGACGGTGTAGGGGCTTTTCCAGTTTCGTTTCAGTTTCTGACAAAGTCGTTGTCGGCGCTTGGGATTGTCCACATTGGGTCGGTTCTTTCAAAATGTGTCACTGTAGCATACACGTCGATTCTAGCTTTTGATTTATCGCTATTGACTTTTAAACGTTATCGAGCGAATTCGCATTTTTTCTAATCTTTCTCTTAAGTTCTTTATCTAAGTGGGAGAAGGCTACCTTTCAAAAAGAAAATCACATGGAAGTTTTATATTTCTCCCAGTAATCACCATAAATGGAGTATAACAGGTAGATTCATGTTCAGAACTTCGGTAGGCTAGTAGAAATAGAGGAACTAAAGTGTTCTAGTCCTTTCGATTCTCAGAGAAGAACATTGAAAGATACTGGCATATGGTTCTATGGTATCTTTTTATCTATCGTCGTACTGTGGGTGGAAAAGCGTAGTGCTTGTCTTCTTGGTGTCTAAGAGTTTCATCAATTCTTGCCATTATTCGGATTCAAAATTTCGTTCTTTGTCAGAATGCAATTCCAGGGGAACTCTATATCTTGCAATGACGTTCGTCATAAATACTTAAGCTACTGTCGTCACTTTCTGGAATAGGTGCTATTTCGGGCAACTTTAAAAAATAGTCCATAACAACCTTTCTGTTAAGGAAAGTGATCCGAGGATATCTATGACGATCCATTCGAAGGGGGTACTGTTCCATTTTACCTAAGCGTTTTGTTTTGGGTCTTTTTCTGCCATTACGTAGATCACATTCCTGACACCAATCTTCTACATCCCGTCGGCTATTGACCCAATAAAATCGTGGCCACCGTGAAGATTCAGGGTGTCCAGTACCCTTTAATAGTGCCATTATATTTGGCTATCTCTTGCTATGTAGATCTGGCTCCATTTTTGAGCCATTCTTGGACAACCTTTAAGTCACTGTTTATATTTTGAATCCTTCTTAGACTTTTAAGGGTGATTCCGTCTTTGTCTTAATAGTAATCGCCTGAAGATTATTTTCTTTAACCGGCTCCTCTCGTTCTTCGTGCCTTTTACAGTAGCGGCATTGTTGTTCTAAACAGGATCGCCTGGAAAGAGTAAACTGTCCTCTTTCATGAGGGTAGGCTATGATGGGTGCCGTGGTCAATTGCTTTTTCAACTAGGTGAAAATCCGGCATCCAGTCAGATAGGCTACCGTTTTTAGTTAGTCGATGAAAGCCAATGTTTTTGACGAATTTCCGGTAAAATGAGCACAATCCAAGAGAACTCCTCAACTCCCTTTTGTCTCTTGGTTTCGGCCAATCTCTGATAGCTGCAATTTTCTCCGGGTCAGTTTTGATTCCTTTTGCGGAAACGATGTGTCGCAAATATTAGGCTTCCGATCGGAACAGTGAACATTTATTGTGAATAAGCCTTAGATTGGCATTTCATATCTGTGAAATACTTCACTAAAATTTGTTAGATGTTCATCAAACGTTTTTGACATGATCATTATGTCATCGAGATATACTAGACAAGTGTTCCAGGTTAATCCTTTCGGAACCATTTTCATTAGTCGTTCAAAGGTAGCTGGGGTATTACAGAGACCAAACGAGAACCTGGAATCTGTGTAATCCGCTGCAAGTTGAAAAAGTTGTTCTATATCGATCGTTAGGGTATACTTCCACTTGCCATTATCTGCTTTTCAAATCTGTCGTAGAAAACCATTTTGCGCCTGATAAAGTGTTTATTGTGTTGTCTATTCGGGGAAGTGGATAGCTCTCTTTTGCCGTTATCTGATTTAGTCTTCTATAGTCTACACAGAAATGAGTAGATCCATCTTTATTATTTACTAGGACCACAGGTGAGCACCAGGGACCAGAAGTTCCTTTAATGATATCATATTCTGTATCATATTTGCTACTTCTTTTTGTTTAGCGAATGGTAGTCTTTTAGGGGTGCTTGCTGTATTGGCCTTTCATCGCCTGTATAGATTTTATGTTGGACAAGACTGGTACGACCAGTACAATTTCCTATTTCGAAACTATCACACATCATTCTCCTCCACTCCGTAACACTAACCAATATAATATAAATAGGGAAAGTACAAATTATGACACATCATTAAAAAAGTAATTTTATGGAAAATTCAGCAATACGACTTTTTAGTGGATTACTTTTGAATTTAGCATCCTCTAGCGGAATAAAAAGTTACGTATTGTAAATTATTTGAAAGATAATTTCATTAATACTTTAATTGACAACATAACAAAACATAATTTATTGACTAATAACTTAAATGCTCATAAGAATACTACCATTAATGTTACAATTAAATAAATTTAACCAAAATAGCAAATTTATGATTCGCATTAAATTACTAATTAAATTTGATTTTAAATTGTGTCACACTTTACAATACGTAACAGTGTTTTACTGAGCTAGAGGGTGTTAACATCAAAAGTAATGCAACGAATAGTCATATAACTGAATTATCCATAAAATCGCCTTTTCAAAGATATATAATACTTTTTACTTTCCCTGTTTAAATTATATTGGTTAGTGTGACAAAAGGGAGGGAAATGGCATAGGACATTTGAAAATATGATTGAAATTGACACCCTGTATATTTGAAGTCCAATCTTTTTTATAGATTTTTTAACCGACTTCAAGAAACGAGGAGGTTATCAATTCGTCGCGATATTTTTTTTTATGTATATTCAGCGATAATTCTTTAACACGGTGTCCGATTTCAATAATTCTTTTTTTGTGAGAAAGGGGCTACTTCACGGGTGGTTCCATATAAATTTGGTCAAAATCTAATAATTGGGTCCATGCGAAAATCCTCAAACTCTTCATTTTTTATGTATGTTTAGCGATAATGCTTTACCACCTTGTCCGATTTATATGATTCTTTTTTAGTTAGATGGTACCTCAGGGGTGGTCCCATATAAATTTGG